GTGTCGAAAAACTTCTCGGCCAAAATTACTGGCAATTTGTCTTCCCTCTGGTGAAACAGTGCATCGCCGCATTGTGAACCGAAAACCAGCGCGCATGACATGACTGCAATGTGTGAGCCGAAGCTGGAAATACCGCATCGAAACCACATTATTTCCGTTTACCGACCTTTTCGTAAGATAAACGTGTAGAGTGTTGCGAGGCAACGTGATATTTGCAGAAAGAGAGATGAGAAAGGAGAAGACGAGAAAGAGAGAGAGAGGAGAGAGGAAGAGAGAGAGGTGACGAATTGAAGAGAGAGAAAGCGATGGCATGAATGGATGGATGGATGATGGACGGACGGACGAGGCACGAACGGAACGGACGGCGAGTCGGACGGACGGACGGGCGGTGCGGGCGTTCGGAGCGACGACGGACGGACGACGGACCGGACGCGACGGACGGACGGACGGACACGGTGCGGCGCGGCGGAGCGCGCGGCGGGGCATGGCAGGCAGAGCAGCAGACAGTCAGAAGACAGACAGGACAGACAGACAGACCAGACAGACAGACAGACAGAATAGAGAGGACGATCAGTAGATTAGATAGATAGATAGAGAGATAGATAGATAGAAGATAGAATAAGATAGAAGATAGATAGATAGATAGATAGATAGAGAAGAGAGAACAGAAACAGTATACAGAAAAAAGGGCCGAGCGACAGAGCGTGATGGTGAATATTCGAAAATAGTTAAACAGAGTCTGCTGATGCCGCTAGGAAGGCTCAGTTAATTTATAAATTAATATTATAAGTTAGTTTAAAAATAATAATGTTTATAAATAGCTTGCGGGCCATATGAAGGCTTCAGATATCTTACTATATGTCTGACGGCAGCTATGATCTGAGCGTATAGTTGGGCCGCAGTGTGTTCTGGTAACTTGCCCTCTTTCTGAATCTTGGTAAATAATTCTCCACCGGGTGCGTATTCCATAACCATGTACAGTAGTCAGTGTTTCTACGACCTGAAACAACAAACATTACAATGTAATTACACGTTACGTACTATCAGAGCTTAAAATACCTAGGTTAATTACTAACGGTATTTAAGGTAATTACCTAAGGTATATTTAAGATAATTACCTAAGGTATAATAAGGTATTATTAGCTCTTGGTATTATCTATATACATAATGACCGTGTGCATGAGGACAACAACTATTAGTTTATAGGTAGTGCTTAGTTAGCTTAGTTGGGTGCTTCTTTCCGCCCTTCACATCGGACGCTTTCCGACAACTTTACAGCGCGGTGTCTCATGCTTTGGCTAGCTCTACCGGTGCATAACCGCTTCGCTCCCGCCTCAGGGTTGTACGATCAACACGAGCTCTACACGTGCTGTAGCCCCCTTTCGCGTCCCGCTACAGGAGCTGTACGATCAACATAGCCTCTACTCGTGTTAGCACCCCTTCGCCTCCTGCCTACGGCGCTGGTACGTCAACATAGCTCTACCTGTGTGCCCCCCCTTCGACCTCCCGCCTAAAGGGCTGTACGCGTCACATAGCTCTACCCGCGTGTAGCCCCTTCGCTCGCCGCTACAGGGCGCTGTACGCTTCAACCAGCATTACCGTGTAGCCCTTTTCTCCCTCTCGCACAGGGAGCAAATAGCGCTACTGTAACCGCGTAGAAATCGTTTCTGCGCACTCTAATATCGCCTCACTATTGTGATATGGATCGCCCCCATCAAAGCCGCGCGTTAGTAACAACATGCGATGTAATGTATAGCCATTGCGGCCCTGCTTAAATATCACCGAATCATGCATAACAAGGACAGCCATCAGGTATGTATTTTATGTCACTTATACCCATCGTGGTAAATTATAGAGAAAGACAAGTTGACTCTTCTTCTGTATGCATCGGCGCAAACGTATATATTTGCCGAAAAAAAAACGTGACGCTTTTTGAAACATCTGGTAACTGTCCTGAAGTCCTCCCCCAAAAACATCGAAATAATAATAACTAACAGTAAGCAAAAGATGTCAATATGGCACACGTGATATAATGCACTCTACGCACGCCCACCGTGCACGCACGCACCACACGCACTCACGCACGCCACGGCACCACGCACGCACGCACACGTCACGCACTCACGCACGCACGCCCGCACGCACCGCCACGCACGCACGCCACACTCACTCACACACGCACACACATACATAATACACACACCACACACACACACCACACACCACACACACACACCACACAACACACACCACACGCGGCGCAGGCGCGCGCGCGCGCGCGCCGCACGACAACATCCACACACACACACTCAACACACGCACACACACATACATACATACACACACACACACACACACACACACACACACACACACACACCACACACACACACACACCACACACACACACACACACACTACAGACTGCTTGCGAGACAGAAGGCGTTCTAGGAGCTGTAGTAAGTGGGACGCGGCGGCGATCGTAAATTCAAGCAACAACTAACGACGTACTTATTTCCAACGCATTTTACGAGTAATGCAGCAGCCCTTCCTCCCACTCTATCACCCACAAGAGGATTACATCTTGTTTATAATATTGTTGCAGCCAGAACGCGCAGATTCTACCCGAGGCAGTGCTGAGGTAATTTACTCGCCCACAAAGAATGGTTGCGCCTGACGACGAGCGACGCGGCGTATAGTCTTGCTAGCCGGTTCGAAAGGCTCTCGCCATAAGTGTAACTCGCCGTAATTCATATGTATCAGTTTCGCTGTGTCCAACATATGCTGTGCGTAATGAAACTAGATTGATCGTCGTAATTAACTGAAATCAATTGTTCAGCGTCACTGCGAAACCATGGTGATCGTTATTATAAACGATTGTGTGGGTGCCGCACGCCCAGCAAATAAAAATAAATTGTACGGAAAGCATACACGGTGCACTGTATGGGCAGTAGACGCCGCACCTTGCTGTTCAAACGCATAATATTTTTACTAATCTATCTATCTATCGTATAGCATAGGATAGATGAGGGTAGATAGTAGATAGTAGATAGATAGATAGATGATAGATAGATAGAATAGGATGGATACATAAGATAGGTGATAGATAGATGGATAGATAGATAGACTAGATAGGATAGATAGCATAGAATAGATAGATAGGATAGATAGAGGAGATAGATAGATAGATGTAGATAGGATAGATAGATAGATAGATAGATAGAAGAGATAGATAGATAGATAGATAGATAGATAGATAGATAGATAGATAGATAGATAATAGATAGATAGATAAGCATAGATAGATGATAGATA